GGAATCAAAATCAAACGTAATTAAAAAAAAAAAGTTTGGCCGAGTCGATCATATATTTAGGATAGCCGCACTTCATCATTTCAAAATAAAATTAAATCGCTTAGAACGCATATTTAGAACCTAAAATATTAAAACAAACGTAAAAAAGAAAAAGAAAAAAATCGGTTCAGCGGCTTAGCCGAGCCGAGACTAAAAATTCGAGCCGAGCCGAGCCGAGCCGGCGGCTTATGAATAGTGCTTAGGAATAGTGCTTATGAATAGTGCCACCATTCTTCACTCTTTTATTTAAGTAGGAGTAGGATAGGATAGGATATATATATATATATATTGTGGCACTAGTGCTATATAACATTATTCAAAAAAAGTATGTTAGGGATGGCACGGTCATTTCCATCCTCCTCCCCTATCGGGAATTTTTGTCTCCTTACCCCCACCTCCCATACCTTTTAGTTTTATTTATTTATTTATTTAATATTTTTAGCTTGTGAAAATTATTATATTAAAAACTTCTATTTTGAAATGAACTTTAAACAGTGTGGGAATCATGTTTCCCGTACTCATCCCGTGGTCCGTCTCGAGGCAATACCCCGCGCCCCGTCCCCACCCCCGCCCCATGTACCCGATTAGGCAGAGAATCTTTGCCCCTAACGGGGTCCCACGACTATTGAGTATAACGAATTTTTTTGTCATTTCTAATGTATATTCGCTCTAAACAAACAATTCTTTTAAATAAATAATTTTATTATCGATTTATTCTTTATCATAATGTTGGCATGAGCAAGCTAACGACGGTGGGAAGCATTGGCCTAGGCAAGCTGTCGTGGGTTGGACAATCTGATTATACTTGAAGAGTCAATTCATTTTACACTTCCAATTTTGTTAATAGAATAGAGTTTTCTATATTTTGAGAATAGAATGTTTTAATATTCCTAAAAGTCGTAATTTTAGAAAATAAGTTTATTTTATTTCTTCAAACAAAAAAAAACAAATTTTTAGCATTTAAAAACTTTAAAAAATTGAGTAATTTAAAAGTAAATTTCAAATTACATTTAATAGACCAAATTTGTTACAATCATATGTAGTTTTGAAATAGTATAGAATCCTTTAGTATCCATATTCATGTAAATAATTGGAGGTCAATTGATAAGAATTTTGAAAGTATGTCCCTATTATATAAAAAAGGCAATGAGAAGTATATGTAGATGCAATAGTAATTCAATCCCCTTCCAATTTTTTATTTATTTCGTTTTTTAATTTTATTTTATTTATTTATTTATTTATTTTGTTGTGTTTTTATATGAAAAGCTTTTTTTCCTATTCTTTTCCTATTTTCATTTTTCCCGCATCCGTACGAGAAGGAAACGACGACGTCTTACCTTCATTCGTGTGAAGAGGACATCGTTTTGGTTAACGTCGTTTCAATCTTTTCTCTCTCAATTTACGGCAATCTAATAGAAAGACTATTTTCTCTATTTTCTTACGCTACCAGCCACGCCTCTTCAAATCCATCTTTTCTGCTTATTCTCATCCACACTAATTTATCACTCTTCTCTCCTTTCTTCCCAAGCATTTCTGTTATCATGAATATGTGTGTTATGATTTTTTGATAGATTGAAATTTTTGTTATGTTTTTTTTTTTTTGATTTTTTTGTGCAAAGCTCTGCATTGAATTCCGAGACGAGTGAGCACCCCAAGATGTACCAAATGAAGCAATGGGCTACGAATGATGTTCGTGCTAGCTTGGAAGAATTGAAACGACATCTGGAGGTTTTAAACCCATGCAGATTAAGTATGGCAAAAAAAGTCGCTCAACCCGAAATCTGTGGGACCCCGCCCAGAACGGGACAGGGATTACTCGCCTAATCGGGTAAACGGGACGGGGATGGGGCGAGGTCATTGCCCCGAAGTAGGTATGGAGCGGGTACGGGAATCATAATCCCCGCCCCGCTACCCGTCCTATTGAAAATTAATTTTAAATTTAAATTTTTTATCAAACAAAAATAATAGATTTATCATATTTTTAAAGAGAACATAAGTTGTTTATAATAAATTGGTAAAAAGTAATAATATTTACTAAGTAAAGACATAAAAATAAAATAAAAGCCAAAAATAAAATAAATAAAAATAAGTGGGGCGATAAATGGGGTAGAGGACTTGCCCCGCCCCGCCTCTATCTCGCCCCGAACCCGCCCCGTCTCGCTTTAAACGGGTATGAGGATGAGGTAAGGTAACAAAAATACCCGATGGAACCGAGGTGGGAATGGCCGACCCGTCCTATACCCGCCCCGCTGCCATCCCTAATTGCAGATCATCCACTCATGTTCCCTCTGTAAGATTTAATTGTTTTCTGTCTTCATCTCGGAGATTCTTTTGGGATCTCTGTAGATATATAATTGTACTTCCATTTCTAGTGTGATGTCCTTTCATGGGCTTATATCTTAGCAATCTGGAAGTTTTTGAAGAAGAAGCTATTAAGGTAGATCATAACTGGTTTGTTTCCATTTCGACACGTTCTTCTGCATGACTTTTTGAGGAGGGAAAGACAGATTGTCATCATTGGGACCTAAAAAGGGAACAATGGCAAAGACGATAAATTCGAACTCGATGGTTGCATTCATGAACTCCATAAATATAGAAGATACGACCATGATCTAGAGGTATGTATGAAGCGCATGTATCAATTTTCCAGCTAGATAACTTTGCATTTGAACAATGTTGCTTTAAATATTTTTCGAATGTTTGTTAGGAAGGATTGGATAGGACTTCTTGTTCACTATACTATCCAATCTTGTCAAATATTGTGTACGAAACACACCCTTTAAGTTTGAGCTAAAGAAAAGTGACTAAAATGTCTTTCTCCTTTCCATGATTGAACCATTCAAACACGGAACATCATATCATTTTCTATGCTGTAGAAATAGTTTGCCACACTGCAGTTTTATGCCATACTATGATACTCTATATAAGAGGTTTTTAATTTTATTTCAAAATAATGAGAAATCAAAGGAACTGTACAAGGTAAGTAATTTTGAAATTTTGTGCTTTTTTTTTTTGGTATCTCTCACTGACAAATAGCGTGTTTGGCTATGCCTGAAAAGTTTACTTATCAGCAAATAAGTAAGTTTTCATTGATTAAAATTGGTAAAAAGTAAAAATTACTGATTTTGATAGTAAAACAAATGTTACTTTCAAAACTTAAATAATTTTTTAACTCAAATGTAAGAAAAATGTTATTTATCCAAACATGTTTGGAAATTGAAAGTAACCTTTATTTATTTTAAGCTCGCCAAACGTGCTCTTTACTATAGGTTAGATGTATTTACTTAATCTGTTGATGCTTAGGTTGATGAGAAATGAATGAGGTGGTTCTATACGGGTGATGTAGGGAGATTCCATGCTGAAGGATGCCTTGAGTTTATTGATAGTAAAAATGACATCGTCAAACTACAGCATGGAAAATATGTTTTTCTAGGGAAGGCACA